TAGTTCATCGATTCTGAAATTGTAGTTCATCGATTCTGAAATTTTAGTTCATAGATTATGGAATTTTAGTTCATTCATTCTGGAATTTTTAGTTCATAGATTAGATTCTGGAATTATAGTTCATCGATTATGGAAGAGTAAATACCCAAAATGGTCCCTCGACTATAGCTAAATTCACAAATTGGTCCTCGACTTTCTATTTCAACCAATTAAGTCCTTAACTTTGCAATTTTGACATGATTTGGTCCTCCATTTATTTGACCGTTTGTTGACCGCGATCTTTGATGATATATATGTAGTTTCACGTGCAAAGCTCAAGAGAACGCTCTTGGAGGTGACATCGTTGTTTTGGAGGGGGAAGTGCTTCTCCGCTTGCAGTTTGGGGATCACGAGTCGGTTCAGCTTAGAGAACGCTCTTGGAGGTGACAAGGCCGTTTCGAAGGGGGGAAGTGCTTCTCCGCTTGCTGCTTGGGGATTCCGAGCCGGTTCAGCTTGCCTACATCGCTTGGAGTCACGGCTTTCTTGAAGAGCCACTCCAGGGACTTCGGCGATCTATCTATCAAAAGCTATAATCTCTCCGGCATGGGGTGTAGCGCCAGCAGTGGATTCAAATGTAACAGTGCGGTCTAGAAATGCAACCGGAACCTTAAAAAAATCGACAATGGACCATGAAATTACATATATATCCTAAAAAAACGCAGTCAACAAACGGTCAAATAGACAAAGGACCAAATTGTGTTAAAATTGCAAAGTTAAGGACTTAATTGGTTCAAATTAAAAGTCGAGGACCAATTTGTGAATTTAGCTATAGTCGAGGGACCATTTTGGGTATTTACTCATTATGGGATTATAGTTCATCGATTATGGAATTATAGTTCATCGATTCTGGAATTTTAGTTCATATGTTGTTGCTGGGAATCGAACCTGATTTTTTTTTTAAGAGGAGACGCGCGTTTTATTAAAACGACGTCATTTTTGCATCCGGATGCACCATGCATGGTGCATACGGATGGTGCATCCGGATGCACATCATAATTTGCCATGTTTTATTGGCAATTTATATCGTGGACTAGCGTCCACATGTCGTTTTGATCTTTAAATTTTAACGGACTCTCAATTTTTCGCTTCTAATATTTATACACAATTAATAATATATTTCAGGTACAGAATTCGTACTCTTAAGATACATAATTACGTAACATAAGACACAAAAACTAATAACGCAAAACACGTACACATAGTAAATCATTTTCGTCTTTGATAAATTGACCAAGGGTAGTGATCCTCCTATTCAACTACTTCAACCATTTCCGAGCATCTCATAGCATTTTCGAGACATCAGAAGATTCAATCATTTCGGTATGATTTATCTTGCACCGTCCCTTCCAATGGGTTTCGAAGCTCAAAATCTTTTAGTGATTGGCCCATAAATGACCTAGGTAAATCCATGAACTCTATTGGATTATTCCTTCAATTAGATTATTCACTTAAACCTGTAATTGTCTTCTTATGCCAATTCAACCAGATAGATAAATCTTTTGAAAAATTGTTCTTATATATTTATTTATTTTCAAATCTGATTTAAATAGATGATTTATATTCCATAGGCATAGAATTTCACAATACATTCCATCAATACATATACTAACCTCTCGATAGATATGTTTGACATGACATACTTAATATACAAAGAGCATTTCCCACATAGCCCCTATCAATTGATGGTGTTGCTATGATATTCTCATTAAAAGTACAAATGTGCAATGGGATTACTTATCTTTGGATACATTTTATAATTTTGCGAGATGCACTTTTAATATTTAAAAGTTAAGTAGGTTAAAGATGAAGCCTCAAAATAGATAGTTAAGTAGGTGGAACATGATTATCATACATGAATATCAAGAATTTAATTGTTGCCAATACCTTTTTGGCCATTGCACATGACATTCTTAGTGAAATTTACTTATATTGTGTAGTTTGTTTTAGGGGTGTGCAAATTTCGGATAATTTTCGGTTAACCGACCGAACCGACAAAGTTCGGTTAACCGTTTTCGAACCGAACTTTTTCGGTTCGGTTAATGGTTAAAGGAATTTTAAAACTTCGGTTAACGGTTAATTCGGTTCGAAAGGTCGGTTAACCGAATTAACCGAACGGTTAACCGAAGTTTTTAATATATATATAAATAATAATATAAATATAAATACTAATTTGAAGTTATGGATGTTTGGAGTTTCTAATTAATGTTTTTGTATATTTTGTTATGAATTTATTATGATATGTATTTTATTTTAATTAGATTTATTATTTTAGGTGTTATTTTTTGAATTTTAAATTTTAGCTTTAAAAAGTTCGGTTAATCGGTTAACCGACCGATTAACCGAAAAAAATTTCGGTTCGGTGAATTCGGTAGAGCAAACTTCGGTTCGGTTAACGGTTAAAGGAAAAAAAACTTCGGTTAATTCGGTTCGGTTAAAACGGTTCGGTTAACTGAACGGTTAACCGATTGAACACCCCTAGTTTGTTTCACTATCGAAAATAATAACTATAAATTCTCTCATCCTTAAAAAAAATTGCATGAAATCATATCATGTGAGACGTGTAATACTTTATAAGAAAGTGTATTATTTTTTAATACATTATAAAAAAAATATTATACTTTAACTATAAATTATTATATAGCTTAATGAGACAATTTTAAATGAGAAATATTAAAATAAATAAATAAATAAAAAGTTGAAGATTAAAGCGAGATTGGAAACAATGAAAAGCCGTAAAAGGTAGAGCTGACCTGCAGCCGATATAATTGTTATAGGTATTGACTTATACGTCTTCTTTAAAAAAAAAAACAAAAACAAAAAAAAAAGAAAAAAGAAAAAAGGCAAAGGCTTCATGAAAAGGACCAAACTAACTAAAGGGAATTGTCGTCTTTTATTAACTATTGACAAGTTGCAGCATGTAGGGCGGCTTCATCAATGCGTCTCTGTCGCATTCATTCATTAATATCTTTTATTATACTCCGTATTATTATTTAATAAACCAAGCATGGAAACCGCGTCTTAGATACTTAATTCCAATTTAAACATGTTATGATTCATGTGGACTTTAATTTGGTTGATTATTCTACACCAAATTAAATTGCATTCATCTTTGGTTCGTGTCTACACTTAGCATTGAGTTTGGTTCACAAATTTAACATCCTACTTTCAACTTAATAAAATGTTAGACTGTTACAATGTAGGGGTTCAAATTTGTGCGTACTAAATGGTAAGAGACTGACCAAATGATTTGCTCCATTCATATGGGTTAGGATCAAACCCCTCACCTTGTGCTTAAGGGATGAGGTGCTGAACCACCACGCCAACCGTGTTAGTTGTAATCTTACATTTGAGAAAGCCATTGTTATGCCACTTGACCACAACGTATTTGCCTTTTGAAGTGTTTTTTTTTTTAAATATATTTTTACTATATTTATTTTTTAAAAATAGGCTTTTACCTTAACCGGTGCCCAGTGGAGTGCCTGCAACTATACACTCTCTTTGAATTAGCTCAACAACTCCAAATATAAGAGGGGAAGTTACAGAACACTTTGTTACTATCACGAGAAAGTTTGGAAAGAAGATTTGAGGGAGGAATGTCTTTATTTTATGCCACCTTGAAAAGAATTATCTTCAAATAGAAGAAGGCTAAGCTTTAACCCTAACAAGTTTGGGGTTGGGTGGGTCAAAGAAAATTCTCATTGTTAGAGGGAAAAGATGAATAAAGTGAAGGAGCATTAATTCTGAGAAGAATAGTGACAGCAGAGAGAATTGAAGATGAGAGATATGAAAGCTTTACAGCTAGTATGTATATTGCTTTTTATACAGTATGTTATAATGATATCTCAGGGGAAATAGTAATCCTTTAGCCTCAGCAGTCAGTATATGTCACCCTAAAGTTCCACTCTTTTCATCTTTTATGTTAGTAGCATCGCATTCATTCTCAGTCTGTGGCATTTTGAATGAGAATATCTGAGACACACTGTATCACTGTCCCACCGTTTTCAATACCCAACCCAACCACCCTCAAAAAAATAAAAATAAAAAGAAAATCGCTCACCCCGGACTCCAAACCCCGTTCTGACAGGATTATAAATAGGTAAATTATAGTGATTTAAATACTTAATGACCTTTTAGATGAGAGGACCAGTGTTTAAATCACTCAACAACCTTTTAAGTGAAAGGACCCACAAAGAGCCGTGAAACTCCCACACCCTTGGTCAAGGTTAGAGTCTGAGTCATCACTCTCAATATACCATCTAAGTACTAATCACATTATTTAGATTTTAGACCAACCTCAATTCCTACAAGTAACATATTTTAAAAATATTTCAATACTAGTTTTTTTTTAGAGTTAATACCATCGAGTATAGTGGTTTTGCCATGTTTAGTCCTAAACTTTCAAATTGACCATATATGATCCTTCGACTTTCAAACTTAACCATTCGTGGTCCAAGTTAACCACACATGGTCCTTCAACTATTAAATTTTAACCATCCATGGTCCCTTCATGAGGACCACTACTGGTTAAATTTCGAAACTTGAAGGGCCATGGGTGGTTAACTTGGATCACGAATGGTTAAATTTGAAAGCCTAAGGACCACAAATGGTCAATTTGAAAGTTTAGGACTAAACGTGGCAAAACCACTATACTCAGAGGACCTCAGATGGTATTAAATCTTTTTTTTTAATTATAAAGTTATACCTTGTGCTTCACAAAATGTACCTTATGCATTAGGGGATGTACCTTGTGCTTTATGTACCTCCGCAAAAAACAAAGTAATTGTACTTTGTGCTTTACAAGTTACGGAGTATAATTTTCTTTATGTACCAATACAAAACACAGTACCCAAGTTGTATTCTCCTATAGTGTACTTCTAAGCACAAGGTATAATGTATAAACACACCATATTGTAAAATTTCTTGTACATTTATCGTCAAGGGTTCAATAACTTCTCGTCGAGTGACATAAGTTTGTAACAGTAATATTTAATACATGATACTAGAATGTAAAGGTGAAAATTTTACATATTTCTCCACAATATGAAGTGACACAACACAGTTACACACTTTCAAATAGAGCTTCATAAAAGAAGAAGCAAAAGCAGCCTTGGATGTACATTATTCAACAAAAACTAGAGAAATGGGGAAGAAAACAAAACTGTCACACACTTACAAGCTCCACATGATCAAACAATTAAAGATTTAAAAAAAGAAAAAAAAACAAGGATACTCCCTAAAAAAACAGGCATCCATGCCATTGGTCATGTGATTTAGAATAAAATTAATTTTGAAAATTTGATTTTGTTTTTTTTTTTTCTAGATAATGTACTGTAAGGAGAAATTTAGGGTGTACCGAGTCTGTGTTTGCTCGAGTCTTGTAGTTGTGCAGGAAACAAGTTAATTCCCGCGCTGACAGTTAGGAAGATCCAAACAAACTGCATAAAATATCAAAGTAACGACATTAGGGAGAGAAGAATATACTAAAAGGATGTCAGCAGGAAGCATGAAGAATATAAAATGAATGCAACAATAATGTTCATCACATGTAATCTTGTCAGGTAATTAATATTATACCTAACAAGAAGACAAGTTCATTAAGATCATAAGCTACCAAGTACCAATGTATACCATCCATACGAATCAGACAGTTGGGGTTTAGATTAATAATATGACAGTCTTCTTCAGAAAGCTGGGAATGGGATTTCTTTGGGACAGCAGTCTTCCCCTTCAAGGGTTAGTTCAGTTATAAATACTAATAATAGTCCACTCACTTTAATCAATGCGAATGGGTTGGTTCTGATATATAGTTGAGACTTTATAATAGTAGTTAAGTTATAATAAACTCTAATAACACAGATCGCCTGCTTTACTGGTATATGCATGTGTAATCAGTGTGCCATTGCCCTTCAACTAGTTTAAGAAAATAGCTTTCGGGAATTCGGGCATGTTAGAAACCACATGATGAACTCGAGAACATGCTGCAACAAAACATAGAACTAATTATCTCATGGCCCTCCTCCCAGAAAACAGTTTAAAGAAATTATTGCTTCCCAACAGAGAGAATTGAAAGGGTTTTCTTATGGCAAATGTAGATGATTGGAATCGACACTAAAGTAATACACTGTCTTTACTTTGTTTTTTTCTCAAAGTATGGAGTGGGAAAAGATGAAATAATATCGTCCATCAACCCCTGTCTATCAAGCCACTCATATGATATTATGTCAGCAGATATCGAAATGAAAAGAGCATAGTAGCAAAAACTAGCAGTTGTTCTAAAGAATAAGAACTAATATGATTAATAGCAAAAACTAGTCTAAACAACTTTAAAATGATATCGAAATATATTAGCACTTTAGCAGTCTTAACCACAAAACAAAGTTCAAGTTTAAGTTGATAGTTGATAGTTGGACTGCAGATTTATTATACACATACTATGTTCAACGGCTACAATACGGAGTTAACTTGAATAAAACAGTAATTTTGAATCAAAATATAGTGAAGTGAAGCAGTGATTACCTATGGTGGTAGAGGTTAGTTGCTTGGCTGATCATTCTAACCATGTTCGGGTGAATATGTTCTTGAGTCGATTTCCAGAGAGTCTCTGCAAGGCCTTTCTGGCCCCGGGAACCTCCATCTCAGTCAGCCTCTGCAAATGTGCATGAACTCCGGCTGCCATAAGCCGCTTTCTGCAGCCCTTACTCCCTCCGGCCATGACTGCTGCCACCACGGCCACCGGGAACTTCTTTGAGACCAAATCACTCTTTGGATCCAGCATTTGTGTCAGCAGCATTACACTCTTCTCGTCCCTCACGATATCCTTTCGATTAGACTTCACAGTCAATAAGGATGCTAATGCGTTCGTGGCGACCTCCTGGAGCCCGTCGGGCTTAGCAGACTGCATTAGCTTCACCAGAGAACCCATACACCCTGCAATGGCTCTCTTGTTCCCCTCACTAATGGGTAAATTTGCAAGCAATGATGCAGAAATGTACTGTAACATCATGGTGCCATGCTTTATGAGCTCTGATAATTGAACAATGAAAGTGGTGGAGGATGAGAGACGCCGTGATGTCTGTTCGCAGGCAGAGAGGGAATGGATTGCCCGCAAGACGTGTTCGACGGTTTCGGAGGCGGCGGATTCTTGTAGAACATGAAGCAATTTGTACAGTCCCTTTTCCTTGAGTAACAAATCGCGGTAATACTCGCCGGAAGAAGCTAGGGTTGCGACGGAATTTGCCGCCTTTTCTTGCGCCAATTCCTTTCCTGAAACCATCAATTGCAGCAAAACGGGGATGGCTCCTTCATCGGCTAATGCAATCCGGACGTCTTCGTTAGTGCATACGTTTCGTATTGCTCCGACGCCGTGGATTTGAGCTAAAACGGAGCCGGATTTACAAAGCTCCGTTAGTACAGGAACGCCGCCGTACGCCGAAACCGCCCAGGCATTTTCGGGATCACTTGTTAGGCACTCCACGGCCAGGGCGGCGTTTTCCTTCATGGTCATTGAACCGGAGTCGATTACTCTCAGAAGCGGCCCTAATCCGCCTTCTTCAAACACGCAATTTCTGGCCTGGTTGCTCGAGGAAGCAAGCATGGAGACCGCCATAACTGCCTGCTCGCATATTACGGGATCTGCATTGAGGTCGAGAAGATTTATCAAGTATCCTATCCGTCCTTCCTTGGCCACAACTCCCGCCAATTTCTCGTCGCCGGAGAGAAGCTGGACGAGCGACTCCAACGCCTTCTTCTTGAACTCGGCGCCGCCGATCTGGAGGCGAGTGAAGAGGTCTCTGATGAACAGCACTAAATCTTCCCGGGTGGAGGCGGAGGAGGGGTGGGAGAGGACAATAGCCGTGGACTGCCGAAGCACGCCGGAGCGGCAGAGGAGGTCGAGGTGATGAATTTGCTTGGACAGCCAGCCGGCGGCCATGTCAAGGTCGGACTGCATAAGCAGCTTCCCGGGAGTGAAGGAAGCATCGGAGCACTGGCGGCAGAGGGCGTCGACTCGCTGGAGCGTGGACAGGAGACTCGGCAGGAGAGTGGGAAGCAATGAGTTGTCAGACCACCGGGGAGACTCCGAGATTTCCGCAAGAAGCGATTTCAACGTAGCGAGCTTGGAACGAATAACCTGCCAGCGGGAGGAGAAAGACTTGATAGAAAGAGAGGAAGGGAGGAGCTGGGAAAGGAGGAGGACTATCTTGTCAAGAGTATCCGCCGTGGACGGCGGCGGCTGTTCGGTGCTAGCAGAAATCATTCTTCCCTCTCTCTCCTCCGGCCAAACCAAACAAAAACCGGCCTAAACTCCCCGGATTAGAACCGGAGGGATGAATACTGAATAGCAGCGACGCATAGAAGAAGAAGAAGAAGAAGAAGAAGAAGAAGAAGAGTGAATTCCGTAAAGATGGCGAAAGTGAGAAAATCCAGGCGGGGGTGTGGGGTTTTAGTCAGAGTCAGAGAGGGGGCTGTCTCTTTAAAGGACTTTTGACTAGCGCGTGTGTATGCAACTAACGCCAACGGTGGCCGCGACCATTGACTGTAACGACTTCCGTGGCCGTGTGTTTCCCGCTTCCGAATAGTTATGCCCGGGTCCACATTGCAAGGTGTAATTGTTATGTTCGTAAAACTGTGTTTATTTTCTTCCAAGAGGCTGAACCTCAACCACTGAACATGAACCACAGAGGTTAGACCGATGTTTACTACGCACAAGGAATCCCCCTCACTTTGAGAGGTTGCTCTCACACTGTCGCTGGTGAGACTCGACCCCTGGTCATTCTTCTAAAGTTTCACCTCTATGACCTGTGTCCATCTTATTTTTTTCCTATGACGTCTTTCAAAAGACGAGTAAAGGACGGCAAGATGGACACGGTTCTATGTTCATAATTACTGAACTCTAGGTTCATAATTATAAAACTCTATGTTCATAATTACTGAACTATATGTTCATAATTATAAAACTATATATTCATAATTTTTGAACTTCATATTCGCAATTATTGAACTTTATATTCACAATTACAGAATTCTATGTTCATAATTACTAAACTCTATGTTCATAATTATAGAACTTTATGTTAATAATTTTTTAAGTTCATATTCACAATTATTGAACTCTATATTTACAGTTACAAAACTATGTTCATAATTATAGAACCCTATGTTCATAATTTTTGAACTCTATATTCACAATTATGATAGTTTTAAAACCGTATCCACCTTGCAAGCTGAACACACCTCCACAACATAATTTGCCTGCAAGGTGAACCCAAGTCAAAATACACTACTCATATATTAAATATTCACAATTTACATATTGAATGTTTACTATTCAATTATGAGCATTCAATATGTAAATTATGAATATTCAATATATAAATTGTGTATTTTTGAATCTGAATTCACCTTATAAGGTGGATTCGGGTCCACGTAATAATTTGCTCCGCTTCCAACTTGGGCCCAACTACATCGGAATTTGGAATAGGTCATAGTTTTAATGGGCGAGCTGTAGCATCGGCCCATAAATAATACTCCATACTAGGTTTTGAGTCATACGGACTACTAATTTATAGTAATTGGGAGGGGTAACATTTGGGCTTTTAAGAACTGAACTCGTTAAGAAAAAGATAACGTAGAAATTCGAGTGACATAAGCCCATAATCAACCAACCCAATCTAACAGTTAGTTATGCAGCCTATTAGAGTAGCCCAACCAGGTTAACAAGGCAAATTATATTGTCCACGTTATAAGATGGACCCACTGTTGCAAAAATCGCATCTAGTCGCCGGCCAGTCACCTAGTGTATCATCATAATTGATAGTTTAGTGGTCGGTTGAATAGGTCATCTTGGTGTCGCCTAGTCGGCCGGTTAGTTATTGGTCTCTTTTTTTTTTTAATGTGTTATTTTTAACTCAAAACGACATCATTTTGAGCGAAATAATCATAAATCGTTTAAATTCTAGATGTTTTTAAGTTAATATTTAATATTTTAGTATTAAATATTAAAATATTAAATAATTTATAATTATTAAATCTTAAAAAAAATAAAATAAAATACACTGACACTAGGCGCGTGCGAAGCGCCTAATGATAAATTTTCATTTTAGATGACAAAAAAATCTACGACTACCTAACATTGTATACTAAAGTAAACTCTACCTTATGTTACATTAATCAACAAAAAACTAGACCTAATCAGTAACCAGTAAAGGACCATAAAAAAGAAAACCAATTTAAGTTGTTCATATTAGCTGACTGGTTCAACTCAAAAAGGTCAATAAATCGAATGTCAATTTTAAAATTACCAAGTTAATAGTTTGACCAACTTAGTTAGACTTGTTCACTAGAGCATATGGATGCAAAGGTACAAGTTTATAAAATGAAAATTGTTTATTTTTAATATATTATAATTTTATTTCTAAGTAGTATATTTCAAGAATTTCCTATGCAATCTGAAAAGGAAATAAATGCTCATGCTCATGCATCCCTAAAAAGAATGAAAAGTTAAACCTCAAAAGTCAAAATTTCTTTCACTCAAATGGTAACACGGCAATGGTATAAGTATAATGACGTTTTGACTCGTGAGGTCATGAGCTGTAACCACTAACCTGCAATAAACAGGGAAAAGAGCACTCACAAACAGTGCTCATAAATCAAAATAATGTAAATGTTAAACCCACGAATTAGCACAATTTTTTACTCACCGGAACCAAAGAGGGAGAGAGAGCGAACATCAGAAGAAGAATGGAGGACGGCGGCGGCGGCGGCGGCGGTGGCGGAGGGAAGCTAAGGACGAAATGGAAGAGCTTAAAAAGCCGGCTGCGGTTGCTCACGGTGCTGGCCTGCTGTGGATCCTCTCGGAGTCCGCGAGTTTCGGACATGGAGGAAAACGCTCAATTGCAGGCCCGATCTCGATTCTACATCGACGATAGCGAAGAAGAAGAAGAAGAAGAAGAGCGCGTGATGATGGTGATGCCGCGGCGTAGTTTGAATTTGGCGATGGCGCTTGCGGCGGAGCGTGATTTGCGGAGCGCCGGCACCACCGCACAGATGAAGACGCTGGTGAGGTTATTCGAAGAAACGGACGGCCGCGATGAGAACAGCACCGCCAAAGATGGCATCGGCGACGGCGGCGAAAGCTTGTGCTGCGTGTGCATGGAGAGGAATAGAGGCGCGGCTTTGATACCGTGTGGGCATACCTACTGTAGGGTGTGTTCCAGAGAGCTATGGTTGAATAAAAGGACATGCCCGTTATGCAACCTCTCAATTCGAGAGACCCTTCATATTTTCTGAAATTTTCCTGTTTTTTTTTTTTTTTTTTTTTTTTTTTTCATTATATATATAAGTTTATAATGAAATTACATTTTCCTTTTAAGAATAAGCCTATTCAAAGCTTGTTCTTAATGTTTTTATTTTTCCTGATTAAATGTTATCTTTCAAGTCATTTAAAATTACAATTTTAATACATGCATGCCTTGAAAATAAAGTTTAAACAATTAAATCATATAATATTTCTTTCTTCAAAATACAACGAATTTTTAATTGAGAGTGTCATGTCACCATAGACTTGTTAGTTGTTGTAAATATGGGATGAGAAATATGTGCATAAAAAGCAAAATAAAATTGTCGATAAATGTTGTAGGAATAAGAGTTTGAAATGATTTAGGCACTCTATTGTAACATAGTTAACTTATCAATTAATTTTAATTTATTTAATCACTATTAACTGTTCTGTTTGACTTGGTTAAATAATCAAAATGTTTGATTATTCAACTTTTTAGAACATCTTACCATCTGTCTGTCTCAAAACACTAAAATTCAAAAAACTATTTTGCATAAAACTATTTTACATATAATCAACTATCAGCTAATTTACCAAACATCTTTATACAATCAGGTAATACTATCAACTAATCAATCATACTAACCCGCTAACAGCTATTTACCAAACACTCACTAAATCACAACTTATATTTAGCATAATAAGCTGATTGTTTGATTAAAAAAAAAACCCTACACAAATGGCTAAATGAAACAATGAATCATCTTGGAACATCTAAAGCTCCCAAATAATTGATTAAACAAAAAGGAGACATTTGGTTCAAATATTTGAATTGTAATATGAATAAAATACTTAGTAATTGTAACAAGATGAGTTATCATCGGGATCCCAGGTAGATTAGGGAAGAAAACATATGGATTTCTGAAATAACCAATCCCGCCCGCACTGTAAGTCTGTAATAAAACTAAGTAAATATTAAGTATAAACATATCCACCAACTTTACATCCAAATTTCTGTAGAAATTCTCAAGTATCAACCAACTTGTATTACTGAGCCCACCATCATCATCCCATTGAAACAAACACTGTCATTTGGATTTTGAGTTGCAAAAAGAGCTACCTTCTCGAGTATTCTTCATGAGCCATCCATGCATATATCACCACCATCACTCGGATTTTGGTTAGATACGGGCGGGTTTTGCGAGGCGTTGTTCGGAGTATGCCCAGCCCCGAAAGTGAACTTCTGAGGAGGAATGTCGAGACGAGGTGCAGAGAAAATGGAAGTTGCGCCAGCGGTGTTGAAGGTGGGAGCAGAAGCGGGTTCGCTGGGCTTGGGGAAGCCGAAGCTGAAAGAAGGCGCGGCGGGAGGAGAGAAGGCGGGCATGGGAGTGATGCTATTCTCGCCTGGGACGAACACCCTCTGTTCGTAATCCTGCAATTGCTGGTAGACAGCTGCAATCCACGAAATGAAACAATTATGTTAGTTGTGATGGATCGGGTTAACTGGAAATTATATAGAAACAGATAACAGGCCGACCTTGAGTGAGTTCAACTGATGGTCTCCGTTCTTTCACCCATTGATAACACTGTGCAAGTTTCCATCTTTTGCTTTTCATCAGGTATGCCATCACGATAGCAGGGGACCTGAAACCGATGTAACTTTTAAGCCCGGAAATTAAACATCAAATACTTAAATATGATTTTTCGCATAAGACAAGCAGAAGGACAATCAATAAAACCATTAATCAATAATATGTTCTTATCTCCTTCAAGAGTTAATACCCAATTTAGTCATTGACCATAGTGGTTTTTCTTGATTTAGACCTAAACGTCTTCTTGTGCTTAATTGGGTCCTGGACTTTTGATAGTTTTACCAAATTATGTCGTCCTCTATTAAGATAACTTGGTAATTTCCCCTCTAATAATACCCAATTTAGTCATTGAATATAATGGTTTTTCTCGATTTAGTCATTGATGATTTGATTCTATCAGTTGATGACTCAATCACTCAATTAGGTAAAACCATCAAGGTCCGGGACCTAATTAAGCACGAAAGGACGTTTAGGACTAAATCGAGAAAAATCACTATAGTCGAGGACTAAAATGTGTATTAACTCTGTCCTTCGGCTTCCAGATCTTCTGCCCTGTCAGGTGGATGTAATCATATTCTAGCATATGGAGTGCAAACATCTATGACACAGAAACAAAAGGGCACAAACTTTCACAGTCAGCCCTCACTCCACTACCACCCACCTTTCAATACCTTATATAATACTTGACTAAAAGGGAAAGAGCACAAATGAAACCAAATTTCAACAGAGGGGGCAGAAAGAAATAGGAAAAAAGGCATAGCGTAATAGTACTTGCCTGCTTTTTCCTGTCATACAATGTACAAGAACACGTGCCCTATCCCTTTCACATTCTTCTGCAAAACATGAGATCACAAAATCTCATTTTGGAAAGCACAAAAAACTGGAAAAAACATTTTTGGATCACTAACATAGAAGTGGTGAGGCCATGTCAGAACTCGAAACCAATATATGTTTATAATGCTTTAACAAAACAGTTGCATATTCCTATATACAGTTCTTAACAGATAGAAAATATTAATCTGTCACATATAGCATATGGCAACCAATGGGAGCAACAAGAAACAATGAGAAGAAAGAAAAAAGCTAAAAAAAAAAATCTTTTCTTTGCCAAATAACATCTGAACTTCATAACTAGGTATAGTGTTGAAACATAGTTAAAAAATCATGTATTAAAAACTCCCACTATGTTTAATCACATTCCTCAAATCTAACTCTAAAAATCCTAAGCAGAGATAAAAGAGAAAAAGAAACAAATGTAGATATTTTAACATCTTGATGTTCTCAAACAAATGGATGCTAAGGAAAGAGAATATGTACAGTTCTAATTACAACGTAATTATCCAATGTTTATTTATTTATTTTTTAGAATCTAAAAACTCAATTTCTCTTGAACTGTTCGCATAAGACTGCCAATCACCACTGACAGAAAAGGTTGCAAGAGAGCATCAAAATATAATATCAGAGGCATTTCCATCAAATAAAGAGATTAGTAATTACCTAAGAATTCAACTGCATCATCAAACTGTAAATTATGCTCATCTTGGAGGCAGAAATATGTAAAAGAATTTTTATAGAGGTTTTGAATAGCAGGAACAGTCTGCAGTATAGAAAGAAAGAAAAAAAAGTTAGTCTCACCAATATGGCAATATTATTAGGACCTTGTACACAGCAAAAAGAGAGGTCATATAGTACGTATGAAGTCCTAGCACTAAGCATTTCTCTGTATAATTTTGAATCGATTAAAGAAGATAATCAACAACATCATAAAAAGTTTAAAACACTTTCCCTTATACCTGTTTTTGAGATTACTAAAAAGAATATACTTTTCAAGTGAATTGAGAAAATCATGCAGTATTTATGAAATTAGAAAGATGTTATGACATTTCCTATAAGCAAAAAGCAGTTGTCAAATCATTATATCTTCCTAGGATCTAAGCAAGCACTGGACTTTATCTTTAGGCCAGCCAATGTAACTACAAGAAAAATCCAAAAGTATTATTGAAGGAGAGGCGACTTGGTTTAGTTAAGCTAAATAAGTGCTTCCAAAGGAGCAGTAAAATGCTCAACTTAACAGCAAAACAAGCCAAACTAGCCTGGTCAAAGGAGCCACCATATGCAGTTAATATGTGGCCTAGGTGTTTTATCAAGTTCACCAGTGTCTTTTAACGTACTCTAGAAGCATAAGCCCTCAGATCAGTCATCAAGTTCATTTGCATCTTTTTGTCTACATTAGAAAGGTACGCTATAAGTTATCAAGTTCACTATAGTCTTCTTACCAAGTTCAGAAGCATAAGCTCTCATGTCTATCTGTTATTTATCAATTTACTTATTTGTGATCATTATAGGTTCTTTATTAAAGCACCAAGAGAATACCATCATCAACTACTAGGAATGCAAAGAAATCTAGCACTTCTTATCCTGAAAGGGGAAAAAGGAAATTTCTTTGGCAAATACTCAAGATCTTTTTCAATAATACATTATTGTGAATCTTTCTAAGAATGCCCAATTCTCTTAGTTGATCTTTTAGAGTTTAATCTCAAAACTGACATGAGTAATCTAGTGCAGAATTTGTCCAAGAGTTTCATCTAAAACCAATGCAAAACAAAAGCAGAGAGATTCCTGATCGCGAAACCGGCTAAAAGTCTGAGCATAAGAAAAGCTGAAACGATTGAGATAAGATTATATAGTGGGTGGCAGTAAAAGAAAGCGGGCAGGAGAGCAGATGAGATAGAATAGAATTACACAGCAGTAAAATACTAACATTGAGAACTCGAGAAATCCCCTGGGTCTTGAGAAGCTCTGCCCGGGAGGCATTGTCGTAGCTGCCCAGGTAGAGGAACTCGGGCAGGATCTCAGTAGGAAAGGCGCTGACTTGGATCGACGACACCTTCTCCGCCACCCCGGCCATGCGGTGGCCGCAGATTTGGCAGACCTCGCCTTCCTCGTACTTGTGGTAGTGGCCGCACACGCCGCAAGGGTTCTCTCGCTCTCTCTTCCTCATGTTCTGATTCATACCGGCGATTGCCGCAGCCAGTCAACGGAGGCACAACGACCGTCCAAGGAAATAGCCTTCAGGCGGCGGAAAACGAGGGCTCCGATGTGGAAGTGGCGGAGGAGGATGACGGTGGAGAATATGACAGGTAGTCGTCAGAGATCTCACGAAGGCGTAGCATCAATTCACAAAATTGGGTCCAATTTGGGTAATTGGTATCTCGGTTTCCTTTTTATATGTAACGGAGTAACGGTACTATTAGGATCATCTCCCTAATTGGGATTAGGGTTCCAATAATGAGGTTTAATAGTGTTGTAGGATGGTTAGATGCTAGTTGGGGCGCATAATAAATGTCAAGACAAATGATTTTAAAATAATATGTAGTGTATAAGAAATTTTATATCTTTTTAAACAAATGTTAAAATCA